CATTTTCTAATCTGCCTATCAGTATGGAATAATTTGTAACCTGGAATTTGGTATTCGACAAGTAACTCACATGAGTCTAGGTTTATCCATGTTTCGGTTAATTCTATTATATCGATTTTTACGGTACATACCAACGCCCTGATTTCATCCATTTTGTTTATCATACTTCTACTGTTTGTGTAGTAGACATTTAAGTTAGTCGTATTCTGAGTCCTCTCTTTGTCACGTTTAGGTTTTAACTCCCTGACTAATTTAGTTTTGTTATAATTCCTAGCACTATTTCCCTGTAACCTTTCACTTTGTTTACCCTCTCCCACTGCAGTGTCCTCCACCTCCTTGCTCACATGATCCCCTAGCAGTTTAAACTTTAACAGCTTTTGAACTGCCCTCTCGAGAGAGCCAGCCAGGGTTGCCACCCCAACCCTAGACAGATGCACCCCATCCCTAGCAAAAAGGTCCCATCTGCCGTAGAAGTTGTCCAAGTTGTCAATGAATGGGACTGATATTGACTTGCAATATCTGTCAAGTTGGCCGTTGACACCAACTGCACTTGACAACCAGTCACCACCAACTCCTCTTCTAGGCAAGACACCACATACTATCGGGATCCCTCCCCTATCTCTAACCTTCCCTAGCGCCTCCCTGTACCTCTTAACAAGTTCCTCACTCCTAACCTTTCCTATGTCGTTGCCTCCTACACAAAGACACACTACTGGCGTGGTACCCTCTCCTGACAGATCCCTATCTATCATCTCAGCTACATGCCCTATCCCAGCCCGAGAAAAACACACCCTAGTCCTACTTTTCCTATCTCTTGCACAAAAAGTCCTATCTAAGAACCTCACCTGGCTGTCCCCAACTACCACGACCTTACCACTGGGCAGGGTTTCAACAACTGCCCCTTCTCTCCTGGCACCACACCCTCCTTCCTCTTCTCTTCCTCGTCCTACCTCTTCTCTTCCTCACCAGCTTCCTCCAACACTTGGTAGGGGTTACTGCACTCCACCTCCTGGTCAACTTTCCTGAGTCCGACCCTAGTCCCCTTGGAGACAACCACTCTCCACGCCTGTTCCCCCTGACCCTCCTTCGCAAGTGTTCTTTTAGGCAGGACACCTACCTGAAGGAGTTCAGTCCTGAGGGTTACGTTCTCCCCCTTTAAAACGTCTATCTCTCTCCTCAACTGCTCCAGATGACTTAACAGAGTGGTCAGGGGGTCGTCTTTCCTCACACACCGTCCCGCTTCCCCACAACACAACGATCCACGGCGGCCATTTCCTATGGTCACTAACACGAGCACTTAGGGCACGCCCTTCTCCAAGAGCAGACGGGGGAGGGAGGGAGTAAAAGGTGAATGGTATGGGTGAGAATGTCGGGGATGGGATTGATAGGGATGATAGGGGAGAGGAAACCAATGGGAACTCTTCGCTGGTTGGAAGAGGCATTAGTGGAGTGGAGTGAGGTACGGTTGGCAGTGGCTCCGTCAGAGACAAGGGCGGTGGAACACGGTAGGCTTTCCTGGGCAAGTGCCAGGATGCTGTGGCCGGTTGACATTCCAGGCGAGGTGTCTTCCTCGGCAGTTGACACAAAGTGGAGCAACTGGGATTTTGTTCTGAACTTTCGTCTTGCATTCCACTGTGTCGTGAGGACCGGCACAGAATCCGCAGGCAATCATTCTTTTCCACTGGCAGCCTCAGTTCTTGACCCAGCATTAATTTTGCCGGTGTGTATCCAGTTGACTCGTGGGCAGCCGATCGATACGCCTTCAACAGAGCAGGCAACTTCTGTCCCACTCTGTCTGCCCCTCAGCACAGTGCTTGGCCAGTTCTTGTCCCAAGGTCCAATTAAACTTTTACACCATTCCGTCTGACTTTGGCCGAAGTGGAGTGGTCCTAGTCTTCCTTATGCTCAACAGTTTACAGCACTCGCTTAACACAACTGACTCAAAGTTTCTGCCCTTGGTCCGAGTGCAACTCTTGGGGCGCACCAAACCGGCAGAAGAACTGGTCAACCAGCACCCTAGCAATAGTCGTGGCTTCCTCATTTGGGATGGCATACTGTATGCTTCTGGCCATTTAGTGAAGTAATCCATGGCCAGACAGATGTGCAGTCAGCCAATGATCAAGCGACCCCCACCTGAGTCTCTTACTCACAATTTTACGAGGCAATACTTGGTAAAGTAAGGTTATATGTAATGGTGGTTGTGATTGGTGGATCTATTTTCGGCTGTATCACTGTCAGGATAAATATTAAACTATTCATCATTATTTTAGATCATGATAAGTTTCCCAATGTTTGTATATTTGCTTAAATAATGAAGAAAATTGCCTAGTTATCCCACAGAGTTGCTGCGACGTCTCAGGTAGTAGTCGATTACTACCCACGTCCGGCCTCACAAAAGTCTGCTCCGAGGCTGTGTCGATCACCAACGGACACCTTATGCCATCGATCTCACCTTCAACCTGGACACTGCTTACAGTGGCTCGGTTGCATTTTGTTATTAGTGGGGCTCTGGTCGTTGCCCCTCAACACCCCTAGTTTCCCCGTCTTAGTGGGCTGCTCTTCTTTCCCTCTATTGGAATTCTGTGGGCAATTAATCTTGAAGTGTCCATCTTCTCCACACGTCCAACATCTTTCTTCTCCACGTTCTTCTCTGAATTGCCCTTCTATCGCTCTCATTTCCGCTTGTAATAATCCTCCTGTTTGTGCCCAATCTTCTCACAATACCAACAGGTTCCTTTAAATCTCTGTCTCTTGTACTTGACCTTTTCGTGCTTTAAACCCAGAGCTAGACTCCGTTTTGAAGCTTGGCACATTTGACCATACGTCGGATTCAAACTCCAAGGCTCTAGCCAAAGCTTCCCATAGAATTACAGGAATGTAAGGAAGAGCATAGCATGCCCTTAGAAAACTTGTTTAACATGTTATTAAAAAGGGGAGGAGTACCAGAATCCTGGAGGATTGTGAATGTGAAACTGATTTTTAAGAACATAAGAAGAACGTAAGAAAATAAGGAGTCTGCATAGGCCGGTTGGCCTGTGCATGGCAGCTCCTGTCGAGAGTTACTACCACTCTCTATCATCCATGAATCTATCTAGCCTCCTTTTGAAACTTTCCAGAGTTCCCGCACTTACTACAAAGTTGCTAAGCTTGTTCCACTCGTCCACCACCCTATTTGTGAACCAGTTTCTTCCTATCTCCCTCCGAAACTTAAACTTATCCAACTTGAATCCTTTGCTCCGAGTCCTATCCTGCTCGGATATTATAAGAACTTTATCTATATCCCCTTTATTGATTCCTTTTACCCACTTAAATACTTCTATCATATCTCCCCGCACTCTTCGTCTTTCTAGGGAATGCAAGTTAAGTTTCTTTAACCTATCCTGATATGGAAGGTTTCTAAGTCCCGGAATCATTTTTGTCATTCTTCGCTGCACCGACTCTAGTGAATTTATATCCATTCTATAATAGGGGCACCAGAACTGAACCGCATAATCGAGGTGTGGCCTGACTTGTGCAAGATATAGTTGCAATAAGACCTCTGCACTCTTGTTACTTACACTTCTAGATATAAAACCCAATACACTGTTTGCCTTATTTCGAACAAAAATCACTATCGTCTAACTACCATCCTATCAGTTTAACATCAATTATAGGCAAATTGCTCGAAGAAATAGTTTCAAACTCAATTCGAAGTCTCCTCAAAAGACAAGTTGATCAATGATTCCCAGCGTGGCTTCACAAGTGGGCGTTCATATCTGACAAATCTAGTAGCTATTTTCCAATTTGGACCCTTACTTGAACCATTATTATTTATTATATACATAAACGACATAGATATAAGCGTAGACAACAACATAAGTAAATTTGCTGATAATACTAAGATAGACCGTGTAATTAACATCTGACGAGGACTCCGCTAAACTACAGGAAGATCTGAACAAACTTTTCTCAAAGTTATAAAATAGAAGATTAAATTTAAAGAGAAAAACTAGAGAGTTCTTAGCCAAGGAGATGGAAATAGAGAAAGCTGAAATCAGATGAACAACGTTGATATTGTGAAATCCTACTGAGAAAGATTTAAGGGTAATGATAAGTACTGTAGGAATCTTAAACCAAGACAGCAATGCGTTTTTGCTCGAAACAGGGCCTAACAGGGTATTTAGCTTCATACAAAGGAGTGTTAGTTACAAGACTAGCAAGGTTATCCTAAAACTATATCTTACATAATTATGTGAGACCTCACTTGGATTATGCGGTTCCGTATTACAGAATGGATATCGAATTCCTAGAAAGTATTGAGAGGAGGATGACAAGGTTAATCCTGGGCATTAGGAACTTGAGTATAAACTTCCTCGAAAGACGTAGAGTGATGGGCAATATGATCGAGGTGTATAAATGGAAGTCAGGGTTAAACAAAGGTGATATAACAAAGGTACTCAAACTATCTAACCGAAATGTGAACACGTATTATTGGTTTTTAATTAGACAAATTTAGATTTAGGCTTGAGATAGATAAACATTGATTTAGAAATAGAGTAGTGGATGAATGGAACAAGTTACCAAACACCATCATTAGCTCGAACACGCCGGGAACTTCAAATATAGGTTCTACAGCTAATTATTTGCTCGTATGTGTGCGTTGTTGGTGCAGACGTTGATGTTGGTTGTACAAACGTTTGTGTTGTTGTTGCAGACATTATTGACGATTGTATTCTTGGTGGTATAGACAATTGTATTGTTGGTGCAAATTTTGATGTTGGCGGTATAGACGTTTTTATTGTTGGTGCAGACGTTGATGTTGGCGGTATAAACGTTTTATTGTTGGTGCAGACGTTGATGTTGGCGGTATAAACGTTTTTGTTGTTGGTGCAGGCGTTGATGTTGAAGGTTTAAACGTTTTTGTTGGTGGTGCAGATGGTGATGTTGGCGGTACAAACGTTTTTCTTAAGGGCATAAATGTAGACTTCGGTGTCACTAACAATGGATGACCTTGGTTACAGGTGGAAGACGAAGGGGAGATGGACTGGGATGAGATCACCCAGGGGGTCATCCTGGCCAGCTACTACTACGGCTACGTTTTTACGCAGGTCAGTTTAAACTCTACTGGGGTCAAATCAGACTATGCAGGTCAGGTCAAACTTTACGGATCCTCTTAGGCGCCTAATTTTCAGAGCAACTTTTCTTATTTACAAGATAGTTAAATGCTAAGGCAGGAAATGTCGTACTGTAAAAACAGGGAAAATATTGCAGCTAAAGCAGACATCAGATCTTGTGTATTTAGGTATGCTTTAGAACTAATATGTACAGGTATTTCCAGAAAACCAATAGATTAGTTAGTAAGTAATTGGAAGGTCTTTTATTAATCAAGGAGAGTCTGACTCACGCAGAAAGAAAGAGAAAGAGCGAGTAGCACTGTCTTGTTCCTAATTCAATGTTTGTCAAATAAACTATTTCCATGTCTTGCCCTGACCAACTCTACCTGTCTTTCTGCTTCTGTCTCTTTGTTTGTCCCTCTCATCTCTCTCTCTCTCTCTCTCTCTCTCTCTCTCTCTCTCTCTCTCTCTCTCTCTCTCTCTCTCTCTCTGTCTGCCTTTGACCTGCTAACAGCATCATCTTGTTGACAGGTAGTGGGGGGTCGTCTAGCAGAGAGGTATGGACCAAGAATTGTGTTCGGGATCTGTATCATGTTCAGTGGCATCTGCACCTTGTTCACGCCCCTCGCTGCCCGCACGAACTACGCATCCCTCATTGCTCTCAGGGTCATACTGGGGCTGTGTAGCGTGAGTGTGCTGAAACATATTTTACTGAATATGAGGAGACATAGTTCAGTTGCCGTATCAGAAGGTACTGCGACACAAGGATCAACCACTGTGTCAGATGGTAATGTGATACATGGATCAATCACTGTGTCAGGAGGTAATGTGATACAGGTGTTAATCACTGTGTCAGGAGGTATTGTAACACAAGTATCAATCACTGTGTCAGGAGGTATTGTAACATAAGAACATAAGAACATAAGAAAATAAGGAGTCTGCAATAGGCCGGTTGGCCTGTGCATGGCAGCTCCTGTCGAGAGTTACTACCACTCTCTATCATCCATGAATCTATCTAGCCTCCTTTTGAAACTTTCCAGAGTTCCCGCACTTACTACAAAGTTGCTAAGCTTGTTCCACTCGTCCACCACCCTATTTGTGAACCAGTTTCTTCCTATCTCCCTCCTAAACCTAAACTTATCCAACTTGAATCCGTTGCTCCGAGTCCTATCCTGCTCGGATATTATAAGAACTTTATCTATATCCCCTTTATTGATTCCTTTCACCCACTTAAATACTTCTATCATATCTCCCCGCACTCTTCGTCTTTCTAGGGAATGCAAGTTAAGTTTCTTTAACCTATCCTGATATGGAAGGTTTCTAAGTCCCGGAATCATTTTTGTCATTCTTCGCTGCACCGACTCTAGTGAATTTATATCCATTCTATAATAAGGGCACCAGAACTGAACCGCATAATCGAGGTGCGGCCTGACTAGCGCAAGATATAGTTGCAATAAGACCTCTGCACTCTTGTTACTTACACTTCTAGATATAAAACCCAATACTCTGTTTGCCTTATTTCGAACATTAACGCACTGTTTTCTAGGCCGTAGGTCCGGGCTTACAAGTACCCCTAGGTCTCTTTCACAAGTCGACTTCTCAAGGTTGATGTTGTTAAGGCTGTATACATTGACAGTATTTGTTCTTCCAATATTAAGTACGCTGCACTTGCTGGTGTTGAATTTCATTTGCCATTTTTCAGACCACCCCTGCAGTTTATTTAGATCCTCCTGTAATGCAATTGCATCCTGCCCTGAATTAATTTGCCGCCCTATTTTGGTGTCATCCGCAAACTTGCTTATGTCACTGCTGATCCCAGTATCTAGATCGTTTATGTAGATTATGAACAAGAGTGGGCCTAGTACTGATCCCTGGGGAACCCCACTGGTTACACGGCCCCACTCAGATTTAACACCATCTACGTACGCTGACCCTCTGCGTTCTATCGGTGAGCCATGATTTTATCCAATTTAAAACTTTCCCCTCGATACGATGAGCCTTAATTTTTCTCAGAAGCCTCTGATGCGGTACTCTGTCAAATGCTTTGCTAAAGTCTAAGTAAATAACATCGTAATTTTCGTCATTATCTACTACCTCGAAGACTGTGTCAGGAGGTATTGTAACACAAGTATCAATCACTGTGTCAGGAGGTGTTGTGATACAGGTATCAATCACTTTATCAGGAGGTAATGTGACACAGGGATCAATCACTGTGTCAGAAGGTGTTGTGACTCAGGTATCAATCACTGTGTCAGGAGGTAATGTGACACAGGTATCAATCACTGTGTCAGAAGGTAATGTGACACATGGTTCAATCACTGTGTCAGAAGGTGTTGTGACACAGGTATCAATCACTGTGTCAGAAGGTAATGCGACACATGGTTCAATCACTCTGTCAGGAAGTACTGTAAAACAAGGTTCAATCACTGTGTCAGAAGGTACTGTGACACGGGTATCAAAACTGTCTGTACTTCCGATCCCGATAATTCTTTAGCTTAAATAAAGGCATTTATTCCCTCGAGCCACAAGATATACAGGTGTGTGCACAACAGGTGATTATTATTATCATTATCTACCTCTAAGAAAATATTACATTGTTAACGTCAGTGGGGCTATAATAAGGGATATTGATATCATTAATATCTCAGAAGGAATATTAATTTTATAACTCTGGTATTAGGCAAATTTATTAATTATCCCTTGGAGCTGTTGTGTGTTGAGGGAATGTAGTGTGTTACAAGATATGTAGTGTGTTGTAGAGTATGTGATGCGTTGCAGGGTGTGTGGTTTGGTGCAGCATATGTGGTGTGTTATAGAGTATGTGATGTGTTGCAGGGTACGTAGTGTGTTGTAGGGTTTGTGGTTTGTTGCAGAATATGTGCTGTGTTGTAGAGTATGTGATGTGTTGCAGGGCATGTAGTGTGTTGTAGGGTTTGTGGTTTGTTGCAGAATATGTGCTGTGTTGTAGAGTATGTGATGTGTTGCAGGGTATGTGGCTTGTTGCAGAATATGTAGTGTATTGTAGAGTATGTGATGTTTTACAGTCTATGTGGTGTGTTGCAGGCTATTTGGTGTGTTGTAGGGTGTATGGTGTGTTGCACTGTTGCAGAGTATATGGTTTGCTTCAGAGTATGTGGTGTGCTATAGCGTATGTAGTGTGTTGTAGGGGATGTGGTGTAATGGTCAGCATGCTCGCCTCGCAAGCGAGTAGACCCGGGTTCGTTCCCGGGCAGGGTTAAACTGGGGGCAAGTTTCTTTACGCCATGTGTCTCTGGGGACCTGATTGTTAATCAATTTGCTGATCGTGTTCCGGGGTAATTGTTAGCCAGTGCAGTTGAAGATTTGCCCGGTCTTCTCGGATTATTCCTTGACACTGAATCGGCTGCTTGTCCAATTAACCAGTCCGTTCACACATATTTATATTTGGGTTTTAAGTAACGAAACCCAAACGGTAGTTCCTTTGTTTTATTATAAAAGGTTGTATATATAATTCCTGAGTGTATATCAACCGTAAGTCTCACTGTCTAGGAGTGAATGAGAAAGGGACGGCGTTTATGTATGATAAACGTTGGTCACGTCCTTTCGATATGAGTTGAGGTGAGCTACTGAAGCTTAGGGGCATCGCAGTGCGTGCTTACAGAAATGCTGAGCTATGGGTCTCGCCCTCTTGGGTAAGTTGCCCGCTCAGGTGTCAATCTCATGTCTTACTCATAGACAGTGGAAAGTTACAGGGTGGTGAATCTGAATATAATATCAGATGTATTGACCCATTTATATAATACGTTCTGTTGATGAGACAGGGGCCTATTACAACACTGGGTCTGATGGGTCATGCAACTTGTTAACATAGGGAGTGGTTGTTGTGTTGGAGACAGCTTCCACACCTTAAATTAATTCACACCTAGGTGGCCCTAGGGCCGGCCATCCTCGAATACGAGGGGCAACCATTTTGTGGTGTGTTGCAGGGTATGTAGCAGGGGCGGATCCAGGAATATCAAAAGGGGGGTCAACGAAGTTTTGGGTGGGGGAACATGAGCAAAGCGAGCCCACCCAGCATTTTGAGGCCACTTTGAAGCCACGTGCACTTGCTATTAGGAGAGATTCAGAGGTCCATAGAAATTACTTTTTACTATACAAAAATGGCTGAGTACAATACAGCACTGCATTAAAGAAAAGTATTGGAATTTTCTGATAAAAGGGAGGGTCCAGACCCCCAGGACCCCCTGGATCCGCCCTTGTGTAGTGTGTTGCAGGGCATATGGTGTGTCGCAGGGTATGTAGTGTGTTGTAGGGTATGTATTGTTGCAGGGTATATGGTGTGTTGCAGGGTATATGGTGTGTTGCAGGGTATGGTGTGTTGCAGGGTATGGTGTGTTGCAGGGTATGTGTTGTTGCAGGGTATATGGTGTGTTGCAGGGTATACGGTGTGTTGCAGGGTAGGTATTTTTGCAGGGTATATGGTATGTTGCAGGGTAGGTATTGTTGCAGGGTATATGGTGTGTTGCAGGGTATGTAGTGTTGCATGATATATGGTGTGTTGCAGGGTATGTCGTGGCCGACAATGCAGTGTATACTGGCTCGCTGGATCCCCCCTCTGGAGCGGCCCAGGTTCGTCGCCATCGTACACTTCGGTAAGTCCCAGCTACACTTTTATTATTATTATTATTATTATTATTATTATTATTATTATTATTATTATTATTATTATTATTATTATTATTATTATTATTATTATTATTATTATTATTATTATTTTATTATTATTATTATTGTATTATCATTAATATTGTTGTTGTTGTTGTTGTAACTGATACACAACGTTCTACATGAAAATTAAAACAAATTCAGACTTCTGTAACCAAACATCAAGTTGTACACGGCAGTACAATATGCAATACAATAAACTTACTTCTAAATGATGTTAAGAATCCTACCTCAAATAAATGTACAGTAGATGGCAGAAATCATACAGAGAGATGATGAGTACAGGTATGTGATCTTTATGATAATAGTATTTATTCAGGAATCATGGTTTTGTACGGCTAAAGACTGCTGCTGGACAATGTAATAGTCTCTGTCAACATACAGTATTGACAGTAGATTTAATATAAATATGGGCTAATTACATGTAGCGTTTGTATAAATTACACTAACCGAAGTAACTAGATAATCATCAATACCTTCTCGCAAGTTGGATGACAATCATTTGTCCTCCATGTACCTCTGATTTACATAGGTCGGCACCACGCGCCCCGTCTGGGACTTAATTTCTGTATCTCCCACGCTACAGACGTGTTAAAGAGCTCTGTAAATTACCTCCTGCATTCTCTCGTAAATGGACGGTTGCTGTCTATTGGTTATTTAATTATTGATAACCATAGAGTGTGCTATACTTTGGTAAATAAATGGATATACAAAATAGTGATAGTGTGAACATTACAAACTCTTAAACAAACACGAATTAACTACAAGAGTTACAAGGTACCAGTTGGATGGAACACTAAATTGTACAAGGCGACTAGTAGGTAAGATTAGAGTTTTGGCGCATGCGCCTAGAGAAGCGGAGGAGCAGTGGGACGTCTAGTACAAACTAAGGATTTCCTAGGTTTCTATCCCTCTCGCGTTAGTATCTGAGTATAACAATGTGATTGAAGTAATGCTGAAAACTTTGGTAAAGTTAAATCTTAACCAAAAGTCATGTTTGTGCTGATTTTAGTGTTAAACGAGTAACTCACCGTTGGCACATCAACAGCCAGCCAGTAAGGAGATTGTAGTGGACGTCTCCCCTACAACTGCGTATCGCATTCCGACGTGCCGTCTCCTAGCAACCAAGCGAGAGCTGACGCCAGATGGTACGGTTGCTTAGCAACGAAACTAGTCACCCGCGACTTTCTGGGTTTTCCCAACATGACTCATAGCGGCTGCTGGGTATATAAGCTCTGTCTCTCCATTGAGATTCATTCTGACTGCTGGACACGGAGCTGCGAAGACCTGATTCTTTTGCTGCATGTTTGAGTCTGCAACTTTGTTGTGATAAGACACTCAATCCTAGTGATTGTACTTACTCAACATAGTGACGGTGTAATTACCATCACAGATTGTACGGGAAATTCCAACTTTGGAAAAAACAAATATTTGGCCTACCCAAATTTTGACTACTACCCGTGCGTCTACGTCCTGGATTGGCCAATCAGTGGTGCCCCACGGTGGCGTGATACATGCACGTTTACTGCGGTGCTCTGATTGGCTAACCGAACGTGGCGTGGTAGGTAGGCTGTTTCTACTCTCTAAGTCCTCTTCTTTCCTTTTTTCATCCCCCTCATGCACTCCGTTCTTTGAACGGGAGGCGGGACTTAGCGATACGGTCGATCCGGCAAGGGAACCTGTGATAGTGCAGGGCACCCCTTGTCCGGGGGTCACCGGTAGGTGGCAACTTTCTTAGACATAACTATAGTCACAGGTAACCTGGGTGCAGAACCCTACGAGCCCGACGCCCGTCCAAGAGGGGGGGGCGGGGTCACTGCTCCCAGGCAGGAGCCCTGTGTTATAGGTAGGATTAGATGTAATCAAGAAGATGACAACAAGCATTAGAATAAAACATAGAGATAAGGGACACTCTATTGGAAGGGGAAAAGTGGCAGAAATCACTTACAACAAACTGCAAGTCCCACTAACTAGAATATTCAGCACCAATGAAGGTTTTAAAGTAATCTGTAAAGATGACTTTGATTCAGATAAAATCCTTTCAAAAGAAGCAAGAGATATATTTTACAATGAAGGCCTTATTGTTGTCATGCCACCAGAACAAAAAGCAAAAAGATCAGTTTTCGTTCGTCAAGTCGACCAAGAGATCGGGAGGAAGACATCGGAAGACCTGAAAGATGAACTGGAACGCCAAAATAGGTGGATGAAGATTGAAGAAGTCATTAAGATAAAGGACTATACTCATGTTTTTAAGATTACTTTTGAAGAAGTGTCAATGGCTGAGAAAGTTTTACAACAGGGCTTTCTAATATTCAACATGTCAGTCACACCACATCAAATAAAGAAGGAGACATTCATCAGTCTGCAAACTTGCTTCTCCTGCTACAAATATGAAGAACACACAACGAGAGACTGTCCGGAAAAAGAAAAAAGTACTGCTCAGATTGTGCAGGCGACGACCATACCTACACTGAATGTAAGAATACACATGTTGGCTGTCTCGACTGTAAGAGAAACGGGAATGTATACATAGGACATAGGACGTTAGCAATGGCATGCCAATAAAAAAACACATGATAAAGTACAAGGAACAAGAAACAAGGAAAAAGGAACAAGACAAGAAGGATACGACATACGTCGAAATAGCAAAGAGAGCGGTCCAAGAGGCTCATAGACCAGAATCACAGTATTAAACCTAAGTGAGCCAATACATGATAAGGTAATGATTAGGTATGATCCATGCACATTTGCACAATATCATTGCACCCGGATCATACAATGAGGAATTAAGGAAAATGTTTAAATTGAATAACCTACCAGAGATGATATTTCCAGAGAATCCACAATCCGAAAAACTATTTCAGGGCAACATATGCAAGCGAACTGAGAGAAAGACTGCATCAAGACGAACAAGGTTTGAGCAAGGAGCAACAGCTGATACACAAGGAACACAAGCGACTGATAGAGATCCCAGACAAATGACTAGAAGTGACAAAGAGAAGATAGAAATAACAAAAGGACAGACTATAAGACAAAGGAGTAGGAGGAGAGAAGATAAGATGGAAACTGATCACAATATACAACCTGAATCTGCTGAAGAAATTGGATTAAAAGTTATCACTACAACAAAACATGGAATCCCAACATCGAGACCAACAGGAGGGACAATAGTAAAAAACTGTGAAGGAGGGATATACAAGTGGACATATCAAGAAAAATCCCTAAGTGAAGATTATGTCTGGTCACTAATTACTACGGACAAACTAAAGATTACGACCAAAGACTTTAAAATAGTAGACCCGTCAGAGTTTAGAAGAGTCAGAAGCGGGAAACAGGATGATAGGTCTCCACTTCAACAGTCACAATCCAAGTATAAGAAATAATGGACAATAGACAAACAGTAAGAGCTTTAAGAATAATACAACACAACGTAAGAAACTGGAAGACCGAGAGAATTAACCTAAGTAATATATATCAAGAAATTGACCCTGACATTATACTAATAAACAGTCACGGTGAGACAGAAAACAACAACATAAAACTCTTTAACTATTATGTAAACTAAAGAAATAAATCGGGCGAGAAAAATGACGGAGTAGCGATAGCGGTTAAAAGAAACTTAAAATTTAAACTAATCTATGACTTCCAGGATGAATTTCTAGCAATAAAAATAAATACAACTCAAGGAGACGTAATTATTGCTACTACTTATCTGCCACCGAGACGACCCTACTTACCTATAGAAGACCTATTAAAATTGGCTAACAACAGTCACCCGATGTACATCTTAGGAGACTTTAACGCCAGACATAGGATTTTTGACAATACAAATAATAACGCCATGGGAAACGCCCTTAATCAATTAATAAACCTAGGGAAAATCAATCATCTAGGTCCTAACTTTCCAACCTGGAGAAATCACAATACACAATCGACACCAGACAAAATTTTTACCAACAACAAAGCCTTTTCAATTACCATATAATACAGGGACCTCTTACAGGCAGTGACCATCTGCCAATTATACTAACTTACTGTCAACAAGCCCATACAGATACCAATAAAAAAGAGACTGAAAATGAGTAAAACAGACTGGGACAGCTTCAAAGACGACTTAAGTAATCACCACTCGATTAACCTACAAGGGAAAACAACAGAAGATATAGACTCAGAAATGGACAGACTGCACTCAGCAATAAAAACATCTATAACCAAACACACTCCTACTTCACACTTTAGAACATTACCCAACAGCAGACTACCAGAAGAAGTTAAATTAATCCAGACCTATTACAATGAAATAAACAGGTATATGGAAAGACACGGCAGTAACAGATGGCTATATACGACACAGATACCACTACAGATAAAATTAAGAGACGCATGTAAGGAAGCAAACAATAAAAAATGGAATGATATTATAATGGCGGCTGACATGACTAAAGACACAAAAACATTTTGGCCTTCCATAAACAAGATGATGGGGCACAACAAGCAAAAAACACCATACATTAAAGACCAAAATGGAACAAAATTGCACGAGGAAAATGAACAAGAGTCAGCATTCAAAAGGGAATGGGTAAAAGTTTTTTAAATATCAGATGAGGAAAATGAAGATTTTGATAGTGAACACGAAGAAGGATAGAAGACGAAATGGGAAGACACATACATAGAATCACCCCAAGGCAATATATAGACTATAACTTATTACCTAATAATCAAAATAATAATAACCACTGGGAGAAATGATGCACTGTCTGGGGAAATTTAAGAAAAAAAAGCCCTGGGCTCACAGGTATTACGAATATGATCATGAATCTACCTGAAAACATTTTTAAATACACTATTAAACATTTTATAACGCATGCTTAATAACTGGTTTACTTTCAGACAAACTAAAAATATGCTAAAAATGATATTTATTCCT